AGAATATTCCTTGTATGAAAAATCAACGATTCTAATTTTTTTTACAGATTTTGCGCTATATAATAAAAATAAGTAACTTTTATTATTAGAAATTAAAAAGAATCTGTAACCTTTACATTTGTTAAACTTGAATATGTTTGACTTATTAGTATAACCTCAAAGCTAAAAGTAGTTTTTAACAGAACTGAAAATATATTTGAAATTGATTTTATCTAATTTTAAATAACATTTGTACAATTTTGAAACAAAATTTATTGTTAAATAATAAAACAAAAATTAACATTTTGTGTTTTTTCTTAAAAATTACATCAAATTTTTTAAAAATAATATATAGATTATTTTACTCTATAAAAGATTTTCTATAATTCTACTTGTTGAATTTTGTTGGCAAATTTTTTTTCGAAAGTTATAAATATTCTTTTATGTGATAGGAGTGTAAAATTTAAAAATTTATTTAATGTTATATTTTCGCAGCTTGTTCTTGCCGACACTATGAAGATTTCTCAATCAACTGTCTCAAGAATTGTTTTTCGTGTCGCCACGTTGCTTGCCAGTCTCATTAATTTATATATTAAAATACCAGCAACTGGTGATGCCCGAAATGAGAATCATCGTTTGTTTAACGTTTTAGGAAGAGGGCATGGAGCAATAGGACTTCCTCGTGTTGATGGAGCGATTGATTGCACTCACGTTAAGTTAGTCGGCACAAGGTTTAACCAGATTGAGGAAATGTTTAGAAATAGAAAAGGTTATTTTTCACTTAATGTACAAGTAGGTATACTAATGATGACTGTGAGGATTTTTTTTAATATTAGTAGAAAATTTATTTTTGACAAAAATTGTGAATAGTTTTTATATTATTGTACAATTTTTTGTAGGCTGTTGTTGGACCCCGAATGGAGTTTCTCGACATTGTTCCGGAATGGCCAGGTAGAGCACATGACAGCCGTATATTTCAGAATTCGTTAATTCACATGCGTTATATTCAAGGACAATTAGATGGGATTATTGTAGGTGATAAAGGATATCCCTGTTTGCCTTTTCTTATGACACCTCTCAGAAATCCTCATACTGAAGAAGAAATCATGTAAGTATTTAAATTGTTTTCACATCAATATAAGTTAATTTGCTGAAGATAAAACTTGACATTTGTGTAATATTAAATTGTTTCAGGTATAATGAAATTCAAATACGAACGAGAATAATTGTTGAGCGAACTTTTGGTGTATGGAAGCGAAGATTTCCATGTTTGGCACGGGGAATGTCAACTAAGCTTATTTGTTCAACAACAACTGTTGTTGCATGTGCTGTTTTGCATAATATGGCATTACGTTTCAATGACATATTAGAAGATGATGACTTACAAGAATATGAAGAAGTTCCTGTACCTAATGCAGAAAATATAAATATGGATGGAGAAGTCGCACGTCAGTTACTAATTCACCGTTTATTCAATGGATAATAAGTAATAATTTGGAATAAAAAATTATTTATTTCAATATCATATTTTAAAAAGAAAAACCATTACATTAAAATATTTTATGTACATATTTCAATAAAATCTTTTCTTCACAATAAATAACATTGATAATATTTTTACAGCTTTACTTCATTTCACTTCAGAATAAAAATTTGTTTAATAATCTTAAATGTAAATATAAAATTAAATATAATATGATATAATAAAATATAATTCATAATATAATGGAATGTATAAATATATAGTTAAATATAAATAAATCTAAAAATAGTATAAAATCTTGTGTAATAAATTGTCTACTAAAATATAAAATGTTCACTTAATACTGTTAATTGTACTAGCTTTGGAATAAAATAATTTAAAAGAATAGGAAATAAGGTTTTTAAAAAAATAACATAAGTTAAAAACTCGAAGCATAAACAATACATCTCAATTCACAATGGTGTAAGCTCTATTGCCTGTGTTAACCGCATTTCCGCCAATTGAGCTTCTGCTTCGGCTTTACGAATTTCTAATTCGTGGATTTTTTTTAAATGCTCCATTTCTAACTTCTGTTTTCTAATTTGGTGCTCCAATTTTAACGAAAGCAGCTCTTCCTCTTTTTTCATTATATTCAACAAACGCTCAGTCTTTTTCGTCTCCTTATCAAGCTTTTGCTTGTCTACTTTACTACTTGCTGTAGAGCGCACTATGTCCAATTTTTCATAGTCGAGCATGGACTCCTTGCTCATGCACCTCCTTTTCACAGACAAAGGAGTCGATGTTTGTGAACAATTAATTTCATCTTCTTGAAAACGTCTCTTTTTAACATCAATCACAGAAGATGCCGTGTTCAAAAGGAATGAAACCTCTGATTCCTGAATCTCAGAATTAGAAGTTACAACATTTCTGAGGGACTCTGTTGATACTTCTTCATCATCAAAAACTGCTTCTCGACGTTCTAAAATACAAAAATGATTAGATTATAAATTATTAATAGTATATCTATTTTAAACTTACAACCCGAAAAATACATTACCATTTATTAAATCTTCCGAGAAGTTTGATGAAAAATATGATGGCGCAGTGGCCATTAAATCAGGAACTATAGCGGCTATATCTGGGTCCACTTCAGCAACATTTATTGGAACATTTAAGTTTCCCGTTGCCATTACATCTTGCTTTTCCTGAGTTAAAGCATTTCTCTGCTGCAGCTTCATGTTGCTCCACATTTTTTTTAACTGTTTAACCGACCTCTGCAAAAAAAATTTTTTTTAGAAATTTCAAACTTTAAACATTTAATTTGTTTAGCACAATTAATTATTTTTACCTGCTCTGCAATAAGTACTGAGCCATTGTATTTTTCCTCGATTTCACTCCACGCAGCCTCTTTAGCTTTCAAGGTGGAACAATCGCTTTTGCGATTTTCAATAACATGGGAAAATCTTTTGATAATTTCCAGGAAAAGTTTTCTTTCCGTATTGGTGTAATGCTTTTTAGACATTTTATTACTAAAAAAAAGTTTAATTAATTAGTATTAAAATTTAGTATTATTTATAATAATTTAATTATTTATTGTTTACAAATTTTATATTCCATTATCTTTTGATTTTAATATATAATTTAAGGGACTGAAAGAAGAAGATTTATTTGGATACATTTATTTCTACAAGAAAAAAGAATTTATGTATGAAAGTAGTTATTTTATGTTTATAAACAATTAAAATTTTTTAGCGTACAGCACTTTTTTAAAAACGAAAGTGTATACATTTATATCATCTAATCGCATATATTCTGAAAATTGACAAAAATTATTGTTTTAGAAGTTGTTATTAATTTTTTTTTTATTTTTTACAAATTTTGAAAATTAAAAAATTTGTATGCATTTATAAATTGTATAATTTGGTTTTTTAAAAAAATTTAATAATAATGAAAAGATTTTTTTATTAAAAAAATTTAATAATTAAAAATTAAAATCACATAATTTTTTAAAAATCTATAACAATATTTCAAATAATTTTTCCATATCTTAATAATGGAGAAAAATTTATCTAAATATATTTCAGCAGGATTAAAAACATTTCACTTTTTCTCCTTTCAGGTAGTCATTTTTGTATCCTTTTACTTTTATTGCGGGTACTTTTTTTCTGAAAATATTGAGATATTGCTCGCGTTAAGGGACTTAATCCTACCCCCAATAAAATCCAGATGTTACATACATTTTGCTCATCTCATTGAAAGCAGTAAGAAGTAAGAATGATTTTACTTTCAAAAATTAAAATATATATTTAACCTTAAAGAAATTATTTTAGAAAAATTATATTTCTTAGAACAAAATAAAGTTTATTCGTTTATAACAAATTTTCAACTTTGCTTCTATTTATTATTTTCATAATTCATTACTTTTCTGACAATAAAGATAAGATATAAACAAAATTACCAGTCTTTTTAAATTGAAAAAGGAAAAATAAATTGTGTTCTACAAATTGTACGCCTAATTTTAAAAATATTAATGTTAATATATTGATAATTATTGTGAATATTTCACTATTATGTATCATTATTTATTAAATTTTAAATATATTTCATTCGTTGATTATTAAAAATTTTTACTTTTAAGCAATATTAAATATATTCACAGGTTCATATTTTTGAATTTTGTTTTATTACTGTTTTTTATTACAAACATTTAATAAAAAAAAATATTTTACAAATTTACTTTTTCAAATGATTACACACAAAAATTTTATAAATGACATTAAAAATATACTTACATAATTAAATCACTTGTTCACAATAAAACAGTTTTTAACCTTATACACAAAATTTATATTTATATTTGTAATTATTATTTACTATAAAAACAATTATAATAACAGAATGAACTGTTCGTTCAAACGCTGAAACGAAAAACTCAAATTGAAAACAACGCAGGTATAAATATTCCTTGGCGCATTGAGGCGAATTTTCAAAACCATTTCTTATTGGTGGATTCAAGAGAATATTTACGGAAAAAGCCGATCGTTCAATAAGATCATCTTAAGCATTTGCTTGGTCAAGAAATTCTTAAGCTGCATTTCCTTTACCAAGCAATTGCTTATTTCTGACTATGAATATATATGGTCTTAAGCTCGACTCATTCGAATAAGACCATCTTGATCAAGCAACTCTTAAGTCCTTGCTTAAGTCGGAACTATGAATACCGCCCGATGTTTATTTACTTCTACTGGACCGATAATATCTGTCGGTAAATGTGACTCACAGAGGGTAAAACAGTAAAACAAATTAGTACCATATTCCACCGCTAGGTAATTTTGAAACAATTCAAAAATAACTGTAACGTTTTTCTGAATGTTCTAGTGGTTCTAATTTATAACGGTCACATTGTAATTGAATATTAATTTGATGTGTAATTAGTTTGTTTTATTGAATATTATGTAACAATTGAGTAAAAGTAGTGACAATTGTCAGAAACAAACACATTTAGTGAAAATAATTTGTTCATATACAATAATATCTCAAGAATATAGTAATGAACATATTGAGGTTATGGCGATTTGGTAAGGCCGTTTTAGTTTTTTATTTCTATCCGTTTTTTGTTTATAATTCTTACAGATTTCAGACAAAAATCAACAAATTATGTAAGTATCATCTATATATTCATTTTTTTAATACCTAACATAAAAATTAATGATTGAAAAATAGAAAATTAATTGAAGGGAAATTTTTTTTTTTTTTACATAAAAAGACTACGAAATGTAGAGTTAAATTAATTTTAAAAGTTATATGAAGAATATTTAAAGTCTGTGGATACAGTTTTTCACAATTCATGGCTGAAATCGATACAAACGTCGTAAAATATTCACTTTTGAATGTTAAAGTTCTGCTAGTCGACTATAGCTTTTTGTTCGATATCGGAAAGCATAATAATGAACTATTGATAAAATAATAAATAGCACATGAACTGCAGAACAATTTATATATTTGTAAATTCATTTAGTCAATATTTAGTTTTATATTCACTATTTATCGATCCCGTAAATATTAACTTTTAAATATTTTAATTTCACAATTTATTAAAATATTTTAAAGGAAAATTCGCAAATATTCTTCTATGTCTACAAGTATGTTCAACTATTTTCTTAAATAATGATTCAATAAAAGTTTACAGAATATCTATTGAAAAATGAGGAGAATCCCCCTGAGACTTTTGCTGTTCGGTGAAAATCGAATACAAATCAAATTTACTTTTCATAAAAGTTACATAAGTCCAAAAAAAAAACTAATTTTATTTAATCATCACAATTGAAAATATATATGAAAATAATTAAAATAAAATTTCGTAATATAATGTGGAAAATTTCAAATTATATTCAATGCTACTCGAATTGCAATATTAACAAATATCGGAAAATGTGTAGAGAAATAAACTCTCAAAGTCGATAAATGGAAGTTACTTTGGTTATACGTGAATATTGATTATTTAATAACAGAATTACGTATTCCATGATATCAGTATTCATATATAAGTTCGTGTCATCGTCCTTTTGCTGTCTCAAAGATTATACAATTCTTTTCTTTTCTTTTTTTTTTCTTTTTCTTTAAATAGCCAAATATTATGCATTCAAGTCGCGTGGCAGGTACATGCATCCCAAACAGGTGTCGATCCCAACCAACCGTCACGATTATATTTATTCTTCCATCTTTCCCCTGCACCTGTTAGGTAGGTAGTCACAAAATAAATTCCTATTTCCCGAGATCTTTTGTGTTTAAAATGAATTGCATTTTCTAACCGCTTAAGGTCGAAAGCTAATTAAGAGAAAAAGAAAATTTTTCTATCTTAAAAAAATTCAAATAAATTCTTTTGTTTTATTCGCATTTTATTAATAATTAATTTTGATAGTGTTTTTTAAAAGTTACATTCAAATTTTTATTTGGTATTATCTTTTTCCGTACCTACTATACTCGAAACTTAAAATTACACTTTTCGTTTTGTCTGCAAATTATATATGCAAGACTCAGTTCCTAATTACAGTAATTATTCTTCTTAAACCCCCTTTACAATTAAAAAAAAAATAGTCTCTCTCTCTCTTATTCCCCATTCAGCTAATTATTCCTCTATGAGATGAAAGAAAAACGGTCGATTGGGAAAAGCATAAGAAATGAGTTCTAAAAAATTTATATAATTAATTTTTCCCATTACAAACCATACAGGACAATTTTTATTTCCCAAGTTTAAGAAATATAAAAATTCCTTTGTTTCAATTGAATAAAAATAATTTGTTTTTCTGTGTACATTTAAATTTAGAAATTTATTAGTCTTTTTTTCGCAGCAACCAATGCCCGCATCTGGAAACTGGAATTTGGATGAAAATTTTTTTATCAATTTATTTATCGAGAACAATGGGAGAATTTTGACAAATCATAATTAAGGATACGAACGAATAAAGGGAAATATGAATGGAAATACAAATGGAAATACAAAAGGAAATAAGAAAGGAAACATACAGGATCGGAAATAAAAAAGGAAAAATAAATGGAAACATAAAGGATTGGAAATATAAAGGATAAAAATTAGTTTGGAGGTTCCTACGGATGATAGAGTAAACTTGTGAGTACAATTAAGTATATTTTATTTTTTTTTTTTAAATAGTTAATTTTTTGAATTATTCTGATTTGATTTGAATTTTCTGAATTATGATACTTTTAAAATTATTTATTATTATTCTATTTGGAAAGGGAATGATTATTTGGAATTTATTTGAAAATATATAATTTTTTTGACTTATATAAAAATTTTATAGACTATATGAAGAAAGCAAGGAATTTGAATAAGATGATTTTAATAGCATTTTAAATGAAACGAAAGCATTCAGTTCAGGGAACACATATTAACACGTTCTCACCTGGGGAACGTGTGCGCTCGTGCATTCTTCTTCTTCTTCTTCTTCTTCCTCTTCGACTGTTTTTTAAAGGGCCTCTACTACCTCTCATCTAAGGGTCTAAGGAAGGCGAGTTAAAATAAAAGAGTCATAGGGTTCCCCCTCTTGTGTGAAAAGCTTTGGTATGAGCTCATAGTGGTGTTCTATGTTGCTCGTAAGGCCGGAGGCTCACCTGACCCCGGCGCCTCCTTCCCCCGGGTCACCCCTTGACCCCACCCCATGGCAAAAGCCCCCCTTTTTCCTTTCCCTCTCACGCCACGAACCAACTACCAACACACAATCGTGTATATATCTTTCACCCTCCCCCTGCAGCAGTATCTTGCCCTCGTCCCCGCGATTCCCGTCGCTACAACACGATGAAGGAGGCATGAGCAGCCAGTCTATCGGCAACCTGCGTACTAGTCGCGTCGCAGTGTGTTTACGTAACAGTTATTATTCTTACTTGTCAGTGTTAATTTCACGTATGATTTAATTTTAGCCGGTTCCTCAAATTTTTACGTTCAACCCCCCTCATTATTCCCCTTCAAAAAAAAAAATAATAATAAAAAAAAAAAAATAATTTTTTTTTCCTCACCAATTATTAACAAACAAACGTCATCCGTCAAAAAGTACGTCACCCTCGTCGTCGAGGACTCCCCCTTCCCTGTTCCTTTTGCCTCCATTCCTTCACCAAAGAACCATTTCACCTGCTGCATGGGCTATTCGGTATATCATCACCACCACCATCACCACAATCAGCAGTATCCTTGGAGTGGTTCAACCCAGGCCAAAACTCCATCGCGCCTACCTGGCTCCCAGTTCTCTTTTACCCTATCGATTGCTCGAAAATAGACGCGAGGGAGCGCGTTACCTTTCTCTCCTTTCTCGCCCGCGTTCGTCCATATAGCGTGTGACAGGTGCAAACCCCCCTTCCCCTCCCCCCCTCTTCTAATATCGGTGACAGTCGCAACAACGTGATCAGAGAAAAATAAAAATAGTGCAACACAACAACACTTGGGCATGATCGACGAACGCAGGAGAGAAAGAGGACAATCAAGGATACTGTACAAATTATAATAGAATTAGAAAGAAACGAAGACTAATTTTAAAAAAAAGGCTCTAAAAAAAAGAAAAAACAAAAGCGCGACTAGAAAATTGAATAACAAAAACTACAAAGGTGGATTCAAATAGCAGGTTTCAGGGGTGGAAGAAGTGGAGCAAAAAAGAATTAAAACGGAATTTTTTCTCCCGCAAGGGAAGTCATTATCAAAGTTCTACGACCTGGAGGCGCCTGTCGTCTTCGCCGGTACCAACATAACGCCGCCCGCTCTAAAACGCCCGAGACGGGACACGGTGGACTCATCGCCGCCACCCGCTCGTAACGTCGCACCCGGAAATCCCGGAACCTCCAGCGAACTCGCCTGTATTATGGACGCACCGCTGTCACAGAGTATGGACTCCGTAAACACGGTGGCCACCGGCGAAGACGAGGTTCGTTATCCTCTCTCTCTCTATATACATATAACAATAGTATTTTTTTTTTTATGAATGTATGTGTGTGTCAGTCAGTCGCCGGTTACGCTTCCGTTTTTCAACCCCTTCTGCGTGTTCCTTTCGTTTCTTCCACGCATGCGGGCACCTTCTCCATATTTTGCAATCGGACCATGCGCCTCACTTCCTGTGTGTCTATATCTTCCTTCCTTCCTGATGCCCTCAGCTTGTCTTCTTCTTCTTCTTTAATTTACTGACTACATTTTCTCTTCGATATATATATATATTCTTTTTTTTCCTGCGAAGGATTTCAATCGAGAAATTACCTCCAATATATTTTAGGGCGAATAATAATGAGATGCGATGCTAAATAATTGAATGAGTAATGGAAGATTCAACAAGTGTAGGGCAAATTTTCTCGAAAATGTTATTTAGATTTAGAATATTATTTAGAAAAAATTAAAAATTATATTCATTACAAGAACATTGTTATTAAATTTTTAATGAATCATATTTTAATATGATTTTTTAATTGAATTAATCATACAATTTTGGAATTAAATAATTCAATTGAAATACAATTATTGAATTGAATTTTCCAATAGAATGAAATAACTAAAATAATAATAAATAAAACAGAATACCATTTAATTTTTAAATAAAATTTGAATTGAATTTTTCAATTAAATATATTTCATATAGACAATTAATTAAAAATAATTATATTTCGTGAATCAAAAAGGCATTTGTTTCAATCATATTTCTTTTATTTAATATTATTTCATTAATTTAGTATTTGATAATCATTTTATTTTATTTTTTATATTTTATTAACTTTTTAAACATCTTATAAGGAAGTTTTCCAACAAATTTGCGCATAAAATTTAAGTATTCAATTCATTGTTTTAAGACCTCTGAATAAGATTCTCGAGAAAGCAATTGGAAATCGAAATCTTCAGCTGTCTTATAAGAGCAAACAATCGAGACATTATTTGATATTCAGAAACCAAACACAGATATTCTAGTTCAAGTTGCTATTGACTTGGAGCAAATAAATTTTATCCTTAAACGGATATATAAAAAGAAATCTGCTCTTTTTGTTTGTATTAAAAAAAAATTATATATATATATATATATATATATATAATCTTGAATTCTTCATTTCGTATATAAAACAATATCCAATTTGGTTTTTCTTGTACTTTTAAAGGAAAATTATTCCCTTTTTTATTCTACAATGCCATATTATAAAACGGTAACTTTTTTTTCTGTATTACGGAAAGTGACTTCAAAGTTCTAGGCTGTATACAATATATTATAATGCCCAGGACACCATAAAGACCGAGTAACACCTGTCTTGAACACATGATGCGGTTCATGGAGAAAATAACAGCCGTGTATGATTGCCAAGTTCTTTAGGGTTCTTTCTATATATTCCACACATTTTCTGAATTTATTACATACAAATATCTTTAGAAATTGTTGCAGGAAAGGAAAAATTAATAGATAAAATTAAAAAAAAAAATTTCCCATTAAATATTATAAATCTCAATTTTGGTTATACACTTTTTGAATTTAAAAAAACGAAATTACCACTACTTTTTCATCACAAATATGAAATTTACAAAATTAGTTTATGAATTTTTTACTCCTAAATAAAATACAACAAAAGCAAGTTTTTTTTTTAAAAATTATAAAACAGTTTTTGTTTGTAAAAAAAAAATAGCTTTTGCGCAATCGTATATAGAAACATTTCCTGTGATAACGGCATTCGAAATATTTCTCCCTTGATTGACAAATCGAGCAGAAAATACCAATTAGCACTCAATTTCCTGCAGTCCTCTAAATTTCACTCTTCGATTTCTATATGATCCGCGGAATGGCTTGTAAATTGTAAACTTTTTTTTCTCTATATACGGATTCGTTTGGTATTTTAATTGAGTACTATAAAAAAAAAAAAAAATTGAAATTTCTTCACTATCATATATATATATATTATACCAGAGAAAATAAATCTATCCTAGACTATTGATTTTCAGAGAAAAGCTATTATATTGATTTTCCGAAACTAAAGTTGTATTTTTCTTTCATATAGAGAAGAAGGAGCTTGAAAACTTTTCATGTGAGGAGAAAACTTGACCTTCCAAAGAGTCTCTCTATGCATCATATATACGTGTATATGACACTGGGAGTTCATTCAGATTTACAGAGGAATTTTATTTAAAGAATAGACGAGAGATTTTTTGCTGTTTTTTTTTTTTTTTTTTTCTTTTTATGGTAATTTCTAGGAGGAAAAATTTGTTATATGAGGCTTATATTGCGCGCGCGCACTTGTATATTAGAAGGGCGATGCACACGCGCTTGGCTTGGTTGCTACATTCTATAGACTTCTATATACATGAACATAACACAATTTCATGTGGTTGCGAAGGCGGGAATTCGATCGTGTGTATATTCAACGGTGCTGTGCGGTGGCAGCATGACACGCACCATGCAGGTGATGTACGAACAAGTTAGTTTCCGTACCCTCCATTCGATGCGTCTGGTTTTACCTTCTTGGTTCCATTTTCATAATTATAATGGCAGAGAAGGAGGGTCTATTAGTGTCTATTAGTCCTCCAACTTCTAGAATTTAATTTATTTTTTCTTTCGAGGTTTTAGAATTTTTTTTTCCACTTTTTCGGTTGAATTTTCTTCGGTAGGTTTAGAAAAATGTTGAAATTTCTAAAAATTAAAAATTTTCTTCAGTAACATTTACAAATCGATACAGTAAAATTATCGTAACAATTGATATTCTGGAAACTAGAGATAATGATAAATAACAGTTTACAAACATGATCGTATTTGCAATATTGATTCCAGTTTTGCATTCGCTTTAAATAGAATCAAATTTTTTTATAAAATTCTAAAATTGATTATACTCTGCCCTTATAGATTTTTTTTTTTTTATAGAAAAATGAGAAATCTTTTCATGGAAAATTGTGGAATTTAAAAAAATATAAATTTCTTTAATAGACACCCTCGGTTATCTGCAGGTTTCTCTCTCTCTTTCTCTCGTCTATGTTCTTCCAGTAATCCTTGAACCCTATAATTTACGGACTGCAGGAAAGAGCGGGCACAGGAAGGTTGCCACCTGAGAAGTAAGCAAGAAGAACCAGCTCAACGCGCCGGCAGGCCACGCTTGTTATTGATTTTTCCACAACACGAAAGAGAGAGAGAGAGAGCCAAGCCACCTCACCGCCGGCGTGTCACGTCATATGGAGGCGGTGGATTACGCTCGACAAGACACATGCGCCAATTTGGCTTAGGTCGTTTCGTTTGTCTCCAGATGCGTTTGCGTATACCCAACCCTCTCTCTATATTTGACGACGAATAAGCACAAGCACACCCTCGTGTCGAGGATTCTTTGCTTCCAAAGAGAGAGAAAAAAGGAGAGACTGATTAGTTCATCCTGCACGATTTGAACCTATTTTAATTGCAAATATTCACTATATACCATTTTTATCATTCCACATATAGAGGCAGTTTAAAACAATTTTTTTCCTCTCTTTTATTATTAAAATTATTAATATACATAAAAAAAAATATATATTTTTTATGAGCAAAAGACTGGAAATAAAGTGTTTATTAATATACTATATAGTTTGCAATTAAAAAAAGGGGAAAAAAAAAATTTGAAATGACGTATTCTTGCGTGGAATGTTTTTTGGAATTATCACGCAGAAAATTTTTCCTTGAATTTAATAAATGAATTAATCGTCCGCTCTGATTTTTTTTCAAGGGCAACTTAGTCATCAATTCCTTTCTCTCTCTCTCTCTTAAGAGAAGAATCTTCTCTCTCTCTCTCTCTCTCTCTCTCTCTCTCTCTCTCTCTCTCTCTCTCTCTCTCTCTCTCTCTCTCTCTCTCTCTCTCTCTCTCTCTCTCTCTCTCTCTCTCTCTCTTCCATTTTGTAATTCCATTGTAACTGATTCGACAATTGACACTCGCTCTTTATACACATGCACACTTGAAGTGGGATGATTCAGTATTACACGAGATCAGCCTTTAGTATTATAACTTTTCTAAATTAATGGGTCTTGAATCTCATTCGAAAGATGCTGAAACCCTTTTTATTCAACCTACATGGAGGAATTTTCATTAATTAAAATTAATAAAACACAATAGAATAATTAGATAATTATTTACATTAATTAATAATAATGTTAATTAATATTATAATTATTAATTTATATTCATTAACATTATTGTATATTTTTTAACATTATTATTATAAATTTATTATCATTAATTAGTAATCGAATTTTCTCGAGATAGTTATATCCATTTTGATTAGAATTAATTTTTAATTGTCGATAATGTAAATAAATAATTGAGAAAGGATAATTAACAATAGAAAAAGAATTTATTTTGAAATGAATTCTTGTTCCGTATTTAGGTTGTTGAGTGTGTGTCATACGTCATGGTTTTTCTATCCATGTCATATACGAATAGTGCAGCTGGGAGGCACTCGCGAGTGGAATAATAAATTTTCGCAGTGAAGTTGTCTATTGCTTAGTTATCTCTGGTTTGTTTCCTGGCAATTCCATAAAGCTTTGCAATATAACACAAAGTATTCGAAAAATTTTACTAAAACTTTTCAAATAACATTTATCGCCAAGCCATGATAAAAATCATGTTCTTAAAATAACAAAAAAAATTCTATTTTTTAAATTGGATTTTTTTAGACATTTTTTTATCCCAAAAAATTTGTTTATTACAAAAAATTGTTTTTAATAAAAAGTATGTCTAATTTAAAAAAATTTCTTTGATGCAAAGTATTTTTTTTCAAACTATTGTTTTCTTCTATCGGAATAGTGTACATTGGAGGTTCGACTGTATACTCTTTTTTTGGAGGGTGATTTCGTTGATAGAAAATTGAGATGTATTTTAATAATTGAGACCTAAATGGAAAAAGTAAAAGTTATTTTCGCAGTCAGTCGCGGCTTTGAACTTTGAAATT